AGATTCTCTGCCTCCACGGTGCATCAGAAGCATCTGGAAGGCCTTTAAAAGCTAGAGGTGCGGGCCTCCGCGATTCTTAGTGGGTTGTGAAAGCCCCCCGGCCAGGCTAGAGACCCGCTGCTCTGAATGGAGGCCCTGCTGTGGGTCTCCGTGAGACATGGTCCCAAGAAGGAGAGTCACTGCCGGATCATCGGCAGGCCTTCCTTCCCACAAGGAAGCAGAGTGATGGACTTGTGCAGATGTGCAGCGCCTTTGAACTTTTTAAAATTTTTGAGAGCCTTTCAACCAAAGGTTCTTGCCCTTGGCTGTATATTGGGATTACCCGGGAAGCAGTTAAAAGTCCCACTGTCCAGGCTGCAGCCCAAACCAGCTAAATCAGATTCTCTGCGGGGTGGGACCCAGGCCTCAGGCTTTACCAGGCTTCCCCGGGTGGTCCAGGGAGCAACAGGGATGGGAACCAGGGTGCTCTTAGGGGAACCAGCCCCTCCGCTGGTTCATTACACTTCTGTAGGCATTTGAGTTTGTGTACCTCCCGCTCCCCTTCCCCCCCCCCGCCCCGGGTTAGAGGGTCACCTGAGGAGAGGCAGCTACGTGTGCAGGTGACTCCCAGCTCTGGCTCTCAGGAACCACCTCAGGACATCCTGACCAGCAGCAGCTGATGCTCCACCAGAATCTTCTTTGGGGCAGACTCTGCACTAGCCCTTAAGTGGGACATGGGGCTCAGTCCCTGCCCAGAAGAATTTGTCACCCAGCAAGAGAAGTAAGATGTGCATATCAAAATAACTGCTCCAGGGAGGCAGAAACCGGTGCGTGCCACGGAAGCAGTCAGAAGGAGGTCCTAGGAATCTTAGTGTCCTAGGATTCTCAAAAAAATCTAAAGTGCCATTGACTTCTAATTTGCCATCAAGTTTCTTACAGCTCGGAGAAGTTCAGAAAAGCATCTCATTCATGGTCAGTGGGATGGTGACAGCTTTTACTTAGATGAGTTACGAACCCCAGAGGTGTGGTCGTGCCAACCCCAGAGGCACCGCTTTCTGGGGACGGAGACTTGGGTTTGTCATCCTTTTACATCAGGAAGACCAGTTCATACAGGGTCAGAGGTGAGGGGACCATAGAGGTCCTCTGGCCTCACGTCCCCACAGCAGACAATGAGCTTGTTACTCAGGGTCCAGAGAAGTGAAGCATCATGCCCAAGTGACACAGCAAGGCCTGGGCAACGGGATAGAGGCTGGGCTTTGAGCACGGTGATCCTTCTGTTCTCCCATCTGAGGGCCAGAGGAGCTTCAGACTAGCGAGACTGGGTCTTTGGGTTTGGCTGCCATTAAATAAGGCATGGCACCTGCTCGTGCCTGGAGTTCTAGCATCAGCATTATTCTCTTGTTCTCAGGCACCCTCTTTTTGCGTGCAGCGTTCTCGAACAGGAGGAGCAGACCTCATCCCTAACACCCAAGTCCCCAGGTGGGCAACCTGAGTCCCCAGGCCCTGAGATTTTATCAGCAAAACATTTTTTCTCTTTGCTGCCTCAGTTACTACTAAGAAACGGGGAGTATTAGAAGGGTCATGCCAGCTGGCTGGGCCCAGTCATTGTTAGAGCTGAACAGAATACATACTCAGATCTTGAGCTAGGGAACTTTAGCTCCACTAAAATGACATTGGGAGGCTGAGACAGTATGAAGGATTACAGGCCACTGTTATGGGTAAAAAATTCCAACCTCCTGTGTGCTTATGATTATCTGACCTTGTGACCCCCTCATGGGGAAAGCGGGAGAGTCCTGTCTTAAAGGCAGAGCTGATGACTGGACAGGCCTCATCAAAATGACACCTAACGTTCATTTACGCTTACTCCGTGGCAGGAATTCATCTGAGCATTTTGTGTATATTAATCCTGCACTAATATCATCACCTCCTTTACAGATGGGGACATCAAGGCACAGAAAGGTTAAGCAACTTGCCTAAAGTCACACAGCTAGTAAATGGCTGAGCCAGGATTTGAACCCAAGATTTGTGCTCACCTGTCTCATAAGAGCCTCTGCCCACATTCCCAGCAGCAGAGAGGAAATGGTCATCTATTCTGGGCAGTGAGTGGGGTGCTAGGACAGCCATGGGCACTCAGGGGCCAGGGGCTCTGCCATGTATCTCTACTTGGGCCTCAGCCCCAGCAAGAAGCCTGAGCCCTGTCAGACCTTCTGCCTAATCCCTCCAAGGTCTTCTCCTGAGTAACCCCAACCGGGGCAGTTCTCTCCTCGGCAGCCCGGACCCCCTCTCCCTTCAAAAATAAAATGAGAGGTTTCCCGGACAGTGAGACCGCCATAGATAACCCCTGGCTCCTCGGGGCCCGGGGAGAAATGCTGAAAACAGGACCACTAGGCAAGTCTGGAAGGCTTCTTCTCCCTGCACCCCCAGCTCTTCCAGGTCCAGCTCCAGGTCCAGCCCAGGAGGGCTCATCTCCACCACGGTCCCTGGGGTGGGTCCTCCTGCTGTCCTAGAGACAGGCTGTTCTCCATCAGGACAGCTTTAGGCCAGGGTCACTATGCTTCTTTGGCCTCTGACAGCCCCTGGCTGGGCAACCTCACCTCACCACACACACATGCATGCACACACCCCCCTTTCTTGGATCTGTGTTAGCCCCTGAGGGTCCCCTGGTAATAGTGTCGGGCTTATCTGCCAGGTCATCTGAAGAATATATGTGGGGTGACCAGTGCAGCTGAACGGCCTAAGAGGACGGGAGGGGGATGGCAGGGAGCTGGGGGAAGATTCCCACAGAGGCTGGGCTGGGCCATGGGGCTGTGGTCCTGGTGTTTCAGATGCAGTCACTGCGAGGGCTGTGGGCTCCCTGCTCTGGGGTGGGGGACAAACTGAGCTCTCCTCCCCCGGCCTCTTCTCAGACCTGTCAGTCTGCTCAACCCTGCTTGATGGTTGAGACGAAATTCCAGCCCTTAGCGGTGTCTGATGCTCAGTCTCCAGCAGAAACCTTTATCTGAGATTAAGGATAATGGATTTCGTTTCTTGGATAAGTTTTTTTTTTTTTTCTCCTCTTTCTCTAGGACTTTTTTTTTTTTTTTTTTTTGGTCAAAAATGAGCTTGACTCCAGAAAATAGACCTTCTGTTAAATGTCTTTTTATTGACTAAACGCGCCTCCCCCTGGTTCTACCCCCCCTTCCCTTCTCCCCCCCCCCCACCACACCTTTTCATGCTTCCAAGGAAACCTTCCGTTTCAAGCACGGGTGAGAAGTGCAAAAGAATAACTTGACCTTCCTTCTCTCCCCGTCTGCTTCTCCTTCAGGGTCCCCTGAGCTCTGCTGCGTGTGCCTGCAGAAGGGGGCCTGGTGTGCGGAGGTTGGGACAGGGAGAAATAACCTGACTTCTTCCTTATTTTCCTTCAGCACTTTCTGCCACCACCCACATTTCCAGAAACCTAGATCCTGCTTGGAAGAAAGGGGGAGAGGACTTGGTGGGGGAGTGCCTTCATGGGTCTCAGGTGGCACGGGTCCCTGGCAGCCTCTGCGGGGGAGGGAGCGGTCTCCGGGCACAGGGGGGGTCTTCATGGGAGCTCGGAGACCCATTCCAGCAGCCAGGGATGACCTTGTACCCTTATTTCACCTGGATCTTTCTTTTTCCCCCTTCAACAGCCCTATTACCATATTTAAATGCAAGTATGTCTTTTTTCATTGACATTTTAAGTAGCTTAGCCTGACCTTTTTAGAGTAGCTTGTTCCTTTTTTGAACTTCTTTTCCTCCCCAGTAGTTCCGTGTAGCTAGGACAATAGTCTTAGAGTTTAGTGGGCTTCTAGTTCGCTGTGTTTGGGGGATGGCTCTCTTTCCTTTCTTTCCTCCCCCTGCTCCCTGCCCTCACGCCGCGGTGCATGTGTCCCCCACTCAGTCCTCTAGCAGGTCCCTAGTTGGAAGGCCCAGTGGCTACAGCTGAGCAGCTGTCTGGCTGCCCGTTGTTTGCTGCTGGCTTCTGGCGCATCGTTTAAAAACCAGAGCCTTTGGAAATGGGTCTTGAAATCAGGCCTCGAGAATTCTGCCTGGATGGCAGACGGTGATTGTTCCACGTGTGTGTGAGTGTGTCTGTGTGCGTCCCCGTGCGCGACTGTGTGTGCATTATACTAGTGGCCAAGAGAAGCCCAGGGGAGGGGACTCGCCCACCTCCTCCTTCCCCTGGACATTCTGCAGCCACACTGAGTCACTTTGTCCCTTCTGACCTTCAGTCCCATTTCTGGGACAGCCTTGCTGCCCGGGGTGTTATTAGATGGACAAACACTTGATGGAGATCCCTAGGAGACCCTTCACTGCCGACTTGATCAGCATGTGGAGCTCAGACAGAAGAGCCAGATCAAAATCCCCATAATGTGCCTCAGGAGGTTGAAACAGACAAAGCCACGGGGCTCACCCCACCTTGGTCCCTACGGCTGCCCGCTCCCTCCCCTAGCTGCCTTCATGCGTACGCAGGCGGTCAGCCGGGGCCTCCCAGCACACCTCGTCCTCCGGCCTGGGGCTGGGATGCTCTTAGCGCTAGGCTTTCCAGAGTCCGGACCAGCAGAGCCTTAGGAGAGCAGCTGGAGTTCAGCCAACTCCTGGCCCAGGTGCCTGTGCCGCCCAGAGGCTCGGGGCCACCTGCTCCGAGGGTTGCTGGGCCGTGCTTGGCGCTGCCCCGGACACACCCTGGAGGACCCCCTTGGTCATGGCAAGGACAGCAGGGACCCCGCCCTGCTCCTAAGAGAAGATCCTCCTCATCCTCTGAGATTATTTCGGTGTGCCTTCTAGGACTAGTTTCTGGGGTGACACATGTGTAGGAATGAAACACACCTAAAGGTGCTATGCCTTCCAGAAGCCTGAGAGCCACTGACCTGAGTCCCTCCTAAAGGCCGCCCCGCGGATTTCCCTTCTCGCTCCCATCCTCTGGAGGCGGGGCGGAGCGCGGCCTGTGAGCCCCGGACTGTGCTGGGGGGGCCCCTGCCAGGGTCCGATCCTCACTCCAACTCCTCTCTCCCTGCCAGGCTTCCCGGCAGCAGCTTACGGACCAGTGGCGGCGGCGGCGGTGGCGGCGGCAAGAGGCTCAGGTAGGGAGGTGTGCGGGACAGGCGCTCCCAGGCATGCCCCAGTGTGCGGGGGAAGGTAAAGGCCCTGTTGGATCTGTGTGGCTGCGTCTGTCCCCTATTGTCACCACAGCCCAGAGGGTGGGGACCAGGGGGCGGCGTGGGCGAGGCCCTGCCCCCCGGGGCAGCCCCCAGTGGGGGTCAGTCGCGGGACTGCAGACCAAAGGTAGACTCTTATTCTCTCCTTGGAAAAAGAGCAGTGACCTTCTTTTTGACTCTGGACGGCCCCCTCACCTGACAGCCGGCCTCAGGGCACCTGCCGCATTTCCCTCCTCGGCTTTCACTGCTTCACGAGGCTCCCTTCCTTGGGCCTCTGACCTAGCCAGAGAAGTTCCAGGTAGTGAGAGGGAAGCTCCTGGCCTCCAGGCCCCTGCTGCACCTGGCGGGTGGCCTTGCTGATTCAGCTCAAACCCCAGTCCCCGGAGGCCGGAAGTGGGGCCAGTCCCGACCTCCATGAAATGGAGTGATTTCTTGAAGCCCCTATTGCATCCCAGACTCTCCTCAGAGCAGAGACCAAAGAGCTCCTGGACTCCACCTGCCGAGGGAACTGGGGTTTTTCTCTCCCACAAAACTGCCCTGGTCCTTTGGTCTCCAGACCCAGCCTCTTAGGAGGTCTAGACCCCCTCAGCTGAGGTGGGAACATTTTCCCAGCAGCACTGTGGGGTCAGGCTAGAGCTGGGTATGTCCAGGATGCAGGCCCCAGAGCGGCCTTCTGTCCCTCTCCCCCAGATGCTCCCCGCCTTCCTAAGCAAGTGGGGCTTCTGCCGCGTGCTGGGCTCCCAGGGAGGCCTCCTGGCCTCCACGCCCCAGCTGCTGAGGGGCCCTTGCTCCTCCTAGACTCGGTAGCCACGGTTTGCGGCTCTCTCCCCTACATCCCGTGGACAGGGCACAGGAGCACTCCGGGAAGCAGTTAGTTTGACAGGGCTCTGAGGAGGGCAGGGGGAGGGAGGTGCTGGTGGGATACCAGGAAATGGGGCATTAAAAGCCCAGAGGGCAAATGCCAAAAACCCAGACCCTCAGTGATAAGAGACTGGCACAGTGAGGCCCTTTAGAAACATCAGTAAAAATCCGTTCCATGCAAACTGGCACTGCCTCGAGCTACAAAGGATCCACTCCCCAGAATCACCCACTGGGGATTTGTTTGGAGGGGCCGGGAATTCTCTGGGGGCTGCTGAGGGCCGGTTAGCCAGAGAGCTGGGCGCCCGTGCTCAGCCTCCACCGGCCCCGGCGGGCCTCCAGCAGCCCCCACCTGCCCTCTGGCTGGTGTCCCTTGGTGCCCCTGCCCTGGGGGCGGGCGCGCCTGCCTGGTGTCTCCCTGTTCTGTTTGGTTTTTTAACTTGAGTGCTTTTTGGTATCGTTACAAACGAGCCCCTGTCCTACCTGTGCCTGGTGGGGGGGATGACAAAAAGAAAACTCGAGATTTTTGAGTGTTGTTGGTTGTTTTCTCCGTTCAGTTTCTTTCTTATTATAACTTGGATTATGAAACTAAACTTTAACCCGAAATTAACCCTGCCTCTCTCCCCACCCCCATTCTCCTTGACTTCATGGCAAGTTTAAAGGGCAGCATGGGGTTCTTTGCGAGTCTGAGAGCGGTCTCCCCATGGCCTGTGCCCCCCCCCGCCACCCCCACCCTCTCACGGACCCCCAGAGCCAGGCGGGAGTCCCACCCACCCACCCCCAACTCCTAACCCCAAACTCCAGAGCCATCTCCAACCACACTTTTTTTTCCAGGATCAGTGGTGTTTTATTTGTAGCCATTTCCATCGGGAGCTAAGTCTCCCAGGGGCCATTCGAGGTCAGCCATGCTCATTGCTGCACTGTTAGTGAATTCTATTCAGGAGCGTGCTCCCAGACCACCTGCCCCACACCAGCCTAGGTTAGTGCAAGGAGTAAATCCTCAACTCCGAGGTGCCTGGCCCCAAGGGTGCAGGCTTGGCCCGGAAGCTACAGGGCACCCCACAGTGCTGCCTGGGGGTCAGGGGCTTGCGGTGAGCCCCAGGGCGACGACTAGACTGTGCCTGCCAAAGTCAGAACACCGCCTGGGCTGGAAGACACCTGCCTCTGTGTAGACAGGGTAGCTCAGCCCCTCACCCCCAACCCCCCACTTTGGACCTGGAGCAGGGTTACAAGGTTGGGGAAGGAAGATCTCTGCCTGTCTTTCTTTTAGTACATTTTGGCCTGTAAGGACTGTCCCCTCCCTCCCTGTAGAAAATAATCTAGACTCCGAGCCTGGTGAGATGGCCAATTATTTACCTGTTGTAGTGGCCCCTTGGTGGCATTTTGGCGAATATGTGAGAGGGACGGCACACGCTTGTTTGCATTTATGCATCAGCCTAGGCCAGCGGGTGATCACTGAAGGCTGACTGCCCGGTTCTCCCTTCCCCTGCTCCTGCAACCCTTCCCCGCCCCAGTGTCAGCTCCTTGCCAGGGGGCGGGGTGCTCCTTCTGTCCCCCCAAGCAAGCAGCCTCAGCTGTTGGAGGGCGTCACAAGTCCAGACGCATCGTCTTCTAGGAAGAAGCTGGTACAGGGAGCCTATGGTGGAGTACTAACCTTGAGCTTGGTACTCTGCCGACCCTGGCAGGGGACTCCAAATAGTAGGGAACGTGGCCTCCACTCCCCAGGGCCTGGCTGTCAGGCTCGGTCTAGAGATCAGGCGTCCTATGGAGGGCCCTATTTTGCCTTTCATTTTTGTCTAGCTTCACCGCTTTGGTTTTTCTTCCTTCCATATTATGATGTACTAGGGGAGCTTCCTGAGGTAGAAGCACCTGCTGAGGGCTGTGGGGTGGGCAGGGTGGGGGGGTGAAGAAGCAGCTTGGATTTTGCTCAGGTTGGCAACTTGTATCTGTCAGGGCTATGGTGTCAGGGTAGGAGGTCCAGGGGGGCCTTGAGCTCTGCACCCACCTCAGCCAACTCCTCGGGGCCAGCCTGCCCGCCTTTTCCTAATTCACACAGGACCTGAGGTGAGCAGGGCTCAGGTGACCCCCCCGCCAGGGGAGGTCCCTGCGACTCCTAGATAACTTCACTATCAGTGGTCACTTTTCTTTTACCTTCACCCGGTAGTCTGAAACGTCATCTTTTCTTGTGCTCAGTCGAGAGTTTGTTTGTTTATTTTGATCGTATTCATTCAGTTCTGATGGCCTCATCATGTCCCACCCAAACCTAAATCCAGTTTGGTCAACGAGCCCCCCCCACACACACACACAGGTGAGGGAAGTGGTTCGGATTTTCAGGCTCTTTTATTTCTGGGGGACATTACGGGGTGGGTCTGTGTATCAGTCGAAGAGCTTCTGAGCCCCCTGCCCACCCCACCCCCAGCCCATCTCCGGCCCCAGCCAGGACCCCTTACTGAACTTTATACTTGCCAGCTTTATTCCAGTCTAGTAACATGAGCTCCTGACGGTGGTGGTGAGTGCGAGAGTCATGTTTCTGTTGTCTTTTCTCTTGCTTGGTTGGGGCTGCGGTGAGAGCGTGTCTCTGAGGCATACTTTCCCGCCTCTCTTACACTAGGATCTGCACACCTCCTCTCAAACACTCTTCTGAGCACGCTCAGCGGGAAGGTTTGTCCACACCTATTAATCCTCTCTCAGTGTCCAGCTTCCTGTTAGTACCAGCTGGTTTGCATGTTTTTGCTTGTTCAGATGAAACAGTTCAAGAAACAAACTCATATCCAACTCTCGAGAAATGTCTTTTTTTGTACACTTTCGTTTTCGATTTTTTTTTTTATTAGTTACAACTCCAAAACACCTGTTGTCCAGTAAAACATTTCACACCCCCCCTGCCTGTTCTTGGAGTGTGTGTCTCTGTGGGACTGAACTAAATGCATGCACTGTAGTGGACGTCCTGGTAGCTGTAGCCCCAGAACATGCATTGTTGACTTGATATTACAGGGTCTCCGACAGCCCGGCACAGCACGGCTGTCTGAGGATAGCGTGGGGGACCAGGAAGAGAGGGGGCTCCATATTTTCAATGTTGCCAAGGGGCTTGGATCCATGTTCTCGCCATCAGCCACCACCACCCCCCCTCACACTCCCTGCTCCCCCAGTCCAGCGCTGGGTCACCACCCTCAGCTCTAGCCTTCCTCACTGAGGTCTCTGTTGCTAGCGTGTCCGGCTCTAGTAAATGAGAACAGAACCAGGTTCGGAAGGAGTCTGACAGTTCTTCCTTGTTCTTGTCTTCCTCATACGGTTCTTGAACAGAGCAGGTCTTTTCTTCTTTCTTAAAGCCCACCGGCAAGGCCTGGTCCAGGCCCTCAACACCTTGGGTCCTTTGCCAGCTCACATCCAGCCTGTCAAGGGAACAGGTCCATGTGGCAGTCCTGTCTACACACTCTAGTCCCCGGGGAGAAGGGCAAATGAGACATGGTGGGGAAAGGGGTTCAGCTCTTGAGGTCCTCGGTCTGCAGACGAGGAATGCATTGGGTCCTAGTGAAGGTTAGCATCTGTTCTTACGGTTGGTGAAGATAAAGGAGAAGCCTTTACATGTGCTCTCCAAGGAACAGGGGTGGGGGGGGCAGGTGGCATCAGAGTGGTGACCTTCCTGGTGCAGAGATTATTGGCGCAGCTCCGTGGGGCGGGGGGACAAGGGAGAAGGGGAACCCCTGACATTCAGAGAGGAGGCCACAGTTTCCCTCCACCTTGCCAGGAAGATTTCCCAGTCCTGCAGCCTCTGCCCTCAGCTCAGGGGCATGGGCAGTCCGTGTCTCTGGACACGCTGTCTCCCCTACATTTGTGGGGACAAACCATAACGGAGTGCTTTTGGAGATGGCCCGAATCTTTACAAGTTGATGGGATGTGAAGTAGTAGTTGCCACCGGGGACCTGCTCTTTAGACCAGCTGCTTGGTGACTCTGACCTAACGCTGCAGGAGGACCCGGTGGGACCTGAGCCTTCAGGGGATAGGTTGTCTCTTGTGGGAGACTGAAGCCCAGGACGTCACCGCGTCCATGGTGTTCCCAGAGGAGTGTG